GCTGCATTTGCAATGCAAGAAAATTACAGACTATGCTGAAATCACTCTATTTATTTTACTGGAAGCAAATTTGAATCAAAGCTTTTGGAAATGAAGGTCTAAGAGAATGACTTGTTTTAATTTTGTAAACATCATATCTTGGTGATGATTGTCTTAAAAGAAGAGAGCAATCCCAGTACTGAAATAGGGCAATAGCCTTCAGGAGTCACAACTCAAGTGAGACAGCCCAATATTTAATTATCTTCATGAGGTATACTGCAGATATAAAATTTACGGTATATGCAGGTCGAGCATCAACATTGTATTATATTCCTCACTTTCTACAAAGTATTTCAGTTACGATTTGGAGATTGCACTTTTTAAATAGGAGTTAGGTTGTATGCAAATTTAGCACAAACTGAAGAACTGTATGTGCTGTATTCTGAAGCAGCAGAAAATAAAGTGGTTGAGCCAAATCTTGAGGAAGTCCAGTCATTCAGAAGAGGAAGCTATCGTGCCAGTTTGCGGTGAGTCTTAAAAGTCTCTAAGTCTCAGTATGTTTTCAGATCTGTCTGTATTTTTTCCACCATTCAAAAATCCCAATAGCAGTAATTATTTGCTGGGTTGCATGTTGGTTAATAAGGGGTGAAGGGGCTGCAATCGTTTTACTAAGACAAAGTCAACTTGGAAAGAAAGGCCTTGGGTAATCTGTTAATGATTGAAAGCCCATGGATAAATAGACATTTTTTATTCCACTTTCTAGACAAAGTACCTTTCCCTTGTCAGTTTTGGCTTTCTGTTTCGATGTTCCATTTTTAATATTACAATCATGCAGCCATGTATTTATTTTACCTAATGCACTTTCAGTCAGTTCACTTGAAGAAAAAAAAAAGACTTGCTGTGTAATTACTTGAAAAATCAATGCAACATATGAGGACATTTATATTATGGCTTTTTCTTGGTAAAAATGAAAGCATTTTACAAGCCAGACTATCTTATACCTAGATGTTAATTACTTCTTTCAGGCAAGCTTGTGTTAGACATTCAAGTGAATACATCTCCTACATTGTAGGGTCACGTTTCATCAGGGAGTAGTGGATTGTTTCTGGACTGTATTACCTGATAGTAATAATGGTGAAATGACTTGGTGTCTTAACAGCGTTTGCGAACAGAGTAGGATATAGCATGATCTTGGACAGTGAAGGACACGTATAAGACAGTGTCTGAGCAGAGTAGGTTTTTGAATAGTGTTTATTCCCACTGAGATAGTTTCGTCTCAAACGTTGAGACAGCATGGAATAAGAAAAAAGTCAGTGGGATTCCCGTAAGTTGCGTCAGTGAATCCTGATGTTGTTATGAAAACTACATTTGCTTTGAAAGCAAGAATTGTGTTACTGAGCTGTGAGTAACTGACCATATTTGTCCTCTTTCACAGGGCTTCACTTCGGCAGCGGTCTAGATCTCAGCTCTCTAATGTGGTTCCTGACCCTCCATTATCCATTGTAGGAGATCAGGCAGAGTCTGTGTATCTTAAGTCTTATGAGGAAGATGATGGACAAGCAAAAAAGGTTAAGCCTAATACTTCATTATTAAATTGCAACCAAAAGGGATATCTTTTATATTACTTGGTAATGGGAACCTACAGATATGTGCTTCTGTTACAGGCAGATATGACTTTTTGGATTGATGCTTTCTTATACCTGAAGTCACAGCTTCAGGTCTTATCCTCTGTATCTTCTAGGCTGCATTTTGATGGTCCTTATGTTGATTGGTCCAGATAAAATTTCTTGCAGACTAGGAGCTTTTGTGAATTGTTAAATGGACTGTAGATTAAGTTGAAAAAGACATATTCAGAAAAGCTGACTTACCAACAAAAAGCAAAATGTTATCAGTGAAGTGTAGCCACTTAGCAATAGAAATGCTGTTGCTTCTCATTTAATGCAGTGAGTTCCTTTTCCTCTCAACATCATTTGGAAGCGTGTGAGTCAAAAGAGACCCTCATTGCAGTCTTGCCCAGAATTCATTCAGTGGCAGTGCCTTGTGCAGTTAAGTGGAGTAGAAAATAAAGATGGCGTGCATTAAAGTTATGTAGAATAAAACCAGTTCTTTAGGAATACACACAGTGAGTTTCTGAAATGTTTAAAAAACTCCCTGCACCAATTTGCAGGGCCTCACTTGTTTAGTGCAGAAAGCAGCAGTTTGAAGTCACTGTTATTGCTATTGTTGGGCCTGTTCTGTGGCTAAAAAGAGAGCTTCAGTGCTGTCACTCTGGCACTGGCTTAGAAGGAAGAGAAAAACAAAATGTTCCCACTCATTCACCCTCGCACATTTCCAGCAGATAGGTCTTTACAGGGTCAGTTTTGTCTGGGCATTTCCAGCCTTGTGAACTGAGGGAGATGAACAGGGCTCAGCACACTGAGTGTTACAGAAAAACTGCACAATCAAACTGCAGGGTAAGTTGTAATTTGATGATGAATGTTCTGCTGTTATTGGGAGTAATTATGGGAATTCTGTCTGTAGCCTGAGGATGTTTCACAAAAGGGAGACATAATTCGCATGTATAAAACTTGACTCTAGATATCTGTTTGACGTCTCTTTTGTTCTAGTTCTATTGCATACCTATTAATTTGATGCAGAGCCTGATCAGTGTGTCCACCCATAATGCTTAAAAATAATATTTAAGAACATTCCAGGAGAGATTAAAAGGCCCTTGTGAGGAAAAAGCTTAAGTTTTGATACTGAGCATTGCATCGTACGTCATCTGGAAGCAGCAAAATGGGAACAGTCTGAATTTCAGTAGCAGAAAGTCTGCTCATAATTAACCTTTTAATTTGGAATCCGTTGAGCTGAACAAGGCATACCTAGCTAGTGAAAGAGCTCCAGTCAGCAGCCAAGGCCCATCGTTGCCCCTTCCCATATAATGCTAGAGCAGCTATTTGAGTACTGGAGGCAGCCATTTAACAGACTAGGCTAATTATTGTATCTCACTGCCATATGGAGAGCATCACCAGGATAATGCATTTATTTCATAAATCCAATCTTTTTTTCAGGAACTTGTTGAGGAGCAGGAAGATGTCAAACCTGTCCCATTTGCCCGGATTTTGAAATATAATGCCTCTGAATGGCCATACATGGTGATAGGATCTCTGGGAGCAGCTGTGAATGGAGCGGTCAGCCCACTCTACGCTTTGCTATTCAGTCAGATTCTTGGGGTATGTTAAGCTGACATCTGAAAGTGTATTGGAGAGCTTAAGCAGAATGTAGGACCCTGCAGCACAGTACTTGGCATGTTTTGGGCAAATCTTTAGGTCCTGTCAAGTAAACGGAGTTAGCCTCCTTATCTATGAAAAGTTATTTGGTAGAGATATGCAACTGCCATTCTGCTATCATTTGGGCTTTCTCTTGAAGGAGCAGGTTTATTAGTGTTTTTCATGTGTGCTTCATCATCTGTCTTCCTTGCTTTCTATGAACTGTTGGGAGCACGTTACTGCACATGTGCAGTTTATTTTAAATTAAACAAGATATACCTCAGATCCAGATACAGTGAGGAGGGAAATGTGCAGAGGTCCCTCCATGCAAAATTTTATTCTAAAGTCTTGGCCAGGCTTTTAGGAAAGCCTTGGATCATACCCAAAAAATACCTCACATTTTTCTTCACATATTTCATTTCTGGAACATCCATCTCTGCTGCGTTTTCCCTGCACAATTCCCAGGGAGAGGTAAATTGTTGTAACAGATTGCACACCTGCCAGCAGAAAGCAGACTTGAATGAACAAGTTTGAAAGACAAGCAGGAAACAGGAATGTGTTTTAAACCTTGTGTCACGGAGTTGACTAGATCAATCTATGTCCGTGACAGGGGCGACAGGCCTCTGCCCTCCCCCCCACCCCAGTCCCACAAAAATGGGAAGGAAGGAAGGGAGGAAAAGAGCAGCGGCAGCAATCTATGGAGGAAAACTTATTTTACTATAATATTGGAATACAAGATAACACAATATATACAATTTAATTGAAATTGAGATTAATAAATCAGACAGGATGAGAGAGAGAGAGTTCCCGGGACCGATTCAAACCTGAAAAGCTTGGAATGGCCAGGAAAGCACCTCCAGCACCCACTGCCAGGCAGCAAGAGAGCGCCCCCCCACCCGGAAGGGCCAGATCCCGTGACTGCTGTAATGTACAGGGATAGGTAGCTGGGATTGGGGCAGTGACACTTTAATACCCCGTACACTACATGATGTTTTGATGTGGAATACTGAAACCCAAAATAAAACAAACAAACAAAGAACATAGAACCATGACACCTTCTCATCTGCTAAGGGATGCATTACCATCACATTCTACAGTCTCACCTGAAACTTTTTAAGAGTTCAGCTGTGACTTTTCTTTCAAAAACTTGTTGGAGTAGAGAGGATGCTTGCTCCTTTTGTAAAATAGTTTTTTGGGGAAAACCTTTGTCAAGTTAGTTGGAAACTGGAGGGCTGCCTAAGGAAATTCAGTACTGCTCTAACTGGTGCCCAGGTAAGTGCCCTAAACTTTCAATAATCAGGAGAATTTATGCTGTTTCTTACTGGGTAAACTAATGACACATTCGCTGGGAAGAAAATGGGAATACTAATATAGTTTTGGGGTTTAGGTAATAATCTGAGATAGGGCAAAACTTGTGTTGTAATCCCCACTTATTCATCTAGGTCATATTAAGTACCTTTGGGTGCAAAGAATGTATGATACAAAGGGTAGAAACACACCTAGGGACTGGAGGATTAAATCCTTTCAGGCAGGAAAGAAGTGAATGAATGCTCCAGCTTCTGAGCTATTGATTAGAAAAGGGCTGAGAAAATGCCTCTAATAAGTCAACAGTCTATGGAAAAAATGAATGACCTTTTGCTTTGGCAGGTCTACCCCTGCCAGGAAGGGGCAGAGCAGGAGACGTTCCTGTCCCTGGTAATCCACTAAGGTTCACTAGAGAGCAGGGGAGCACTGCTTTGTATAGTCTGCAATCAGTCTAACTTTTGATTCCTTTTGAGAGTTGGGTTTTCCTAACACTGCGAAGTCAAGACTTGAGTCATCCTATAGGATGCTGAATTCCTTTATTGTGGATGAATTCCTTCTCTTGAATGTCTGAGTTCAGCAAAAGAAAGAGATTGCAAGAAAAAAAAGAAGCCATAGCCAACATGAGCAAAGTCCAATATCTGTGTTTTATTATTCATAAATTTAAGAAATTTCTGCCTGCTGCCAAGGAAGGCAGGCAGATGGAACAGACATCTGCCTTTCAAACTGCTTGACTGTCTGCAGTGATGTTGTGCCAGGTATGTGGGCTCGTGCTGTGGGAATAATAGACTAGAGAAACAATGGGAAAAAGTTCTTACAACTGCAGAATGAAAGAGTGAATTTAGCAAAGTCTGCCTTTTGAAGGTGCTAAAAAATTAGTCCTAAGAAGTCAGCGAAGAGCTGGATAATACTGCATGTCTCTCTTTAGTTGTTCTGTTCAAATCAGAAGCTTACAACGGGGAACACTTTACTTGGTTGTTTCTTCTCAGCTGTTCTATGGTTCTCATTGTGAAACTGTCCAAGCATGGGAAATTAATCATTTTCCAGTGAAATTCAATTGGAAATATGTTTGAACTGTTTGCAGTACAGAGATCTCTTTCCAACCACTGTTGCTTCTTAATTGCAGGACAATTACCGCTCTCAGTTTAGGGTGAGTGTAGGCATGTACTTCAGTGCATGGCTTTTCTAGCTGCGCAGAGGATAGGCTGAGAAGGCGAGAGATTAAGCAATTTATAGCAAGAGAGAAATCCAGTTAGAATGAATTTAACATTAGTGGAGAAGTACAGCCACGAGCTGTGGCTTATCCCTGCAAGTAGCATAAGCAGTTCCAGCAGTTCAGGTAGGTTAACTGACATAAATATCAACTGTTGTGAGGGAAAGTAATTGGTAAAAATGGCTTCTTAGACGTGTTCCACTGCTTCAGCAGCAGCCAGTAACACCAGCAGTTGTTGGAAAAGATGAGATAGATATAAAGAACAACAGATAAAAGGAAAATATAATGGAGATTGGAGTGGATGAGGATGGAGGGGCTCTGCTTTAAGTTCTAAAGCTCTTCCTCAAGTAGCCATCAGTGAGCAAATAGCTTGTATCCACACACCTTCAGTAAAAGACACTGGCTTCTCTTGAAGCCTACTTAGAGCAATTGTGGCATCGATTAGTGTTATGCAAGGAGCCATCCTAAGGTATAACTACTTATGAGTACTTTGTATGGCTCAATAAGGTTGCAGTTGTCATAGATTAGAGAGGAGATATGGAGGCTGCTGTAATTGCTTTGTCTCTATGCCATTAATGTTATTGCCCTTCTGGTTATTGACCTTTGGTGTGTGTGTGATTAATTATAAACTATTAATTATAAACTACTAATTATTAGCTATTAATTAATATAAACTATTAATTAAACTATTAATTATTAACTATGCATGGACAGAAAATAATCAGTATATGCAAACAGAGACTGTAACAAACTTGTTTAAGAGGAGTAAAAAAATCAATATTCTGTACCCAGGTGTAGCCTAGAGAAATATGGAAGTTGGCATTTGTGAGGGGGGAGGGAGAGCCCTGTGTGGTAACTGTGATTCTTGGGGGAGCAGTAGAGTCATGAACAAATGGTTTTGGAAACAGCAATGAACATACAGATGTTTCACCTCCTAGGAAGACATGTCTGCCCAAAGGCAGCAGAATAAGCCTTCCTTTTGTCCCCTCTCCTCCTGGCCAGAACTCAGAGGAGAGCAGTAAGTTCCTAGGTCACCAGAACTTGTCCTTGAGCCAATAAGACCAAATGCAGTCCTCTCCCTTGGGCTCAGCTTGTAACTTCCTTTGGTGGTGGTCTTATAAAAACAGGCTCTTCTAATATTATGTTATCCTTTTTTTTTTCCTTTTTTTTTTTTCCCCCTGAAGACCTTCTCCATTCTTGATGAGGAAGAACAAAAAGTCCAGATCAATGGTGTCTGCCTGCTGTTTGTCTTGGTTGGAATTGTTTCATTTTTTACACAGTTTTTACAGGTAATAACAGTGCAATGTAAGTAAATTTTGTTTCTGATCCCATTTTCTGCGTGTATCTCTTTCTGTACAATCCTTTTTGTTTACTGTTTGTGCTTCAGGGATACAACTTTGCCAAGTCTGGTGAGCTGCTTACGAGACGGTTAAGGAAAATTGGTTTCCAGGCTATGCTAGGGCAAGACATCGGCTGGTTTGATGACCGGAGGAACAGCCCTGGGGCACTGACTACGAGGCTTGCAACCGATGCATCACAGGTCCAAGGGGTAAGACCTTCATAATTCTTTTAATATAAGCACAGATTGAAGGCCTATTTTGACACATCATCACAGAAATTAACGAGCATGAGAAAAGCAAAGTCAGCGTAGGCCAGTCCTTGATCAGTCAATTAAGCTTTTGCCGTTTTTCATAGACTGTGAACTTGGAACTATTATCACTGTGTTTACCTAAAAGCATAACTAGAATCACAGTTCATTGACCACTATTGGTGTCTGTATTACCTGAAAATTACACAAAAATAAATTGAATTAATATCAGCCATCAGTGAAACTGGAATTAGCATCAAGGAGCTCTCTTTGTTTTCCTTCTGAAGATGAGTTAGCTCTTTGCCACAGTGCTTATGTGTTTATTTCAAAAGCATGTCAGGCTGGTATTGTCACAAGGTTCACCAGTCTTGTTTACAGGATGATACTGTTCATGCTGTATCAAAGCTGTTCCTTGCTGCTTTGATTTAAAGCGACAGCCCACATAAAGAACCAATTGACAGGACTGGCTGGTGCACCAGCTGGGGATTCAGGCAGTCAGTTTCAGTGTGAGTTCCAGTTTGGGAAAGGGGCCCACTCAACCCACGTGCTGAATTCCTTAGGAGATGAGGATTAAATTATGCTGAGCTATTAGTATACTTCACTGAATGGATGCTTTGTTAGAGGTGAACCGTTTCATTTGGTTCCAAAGCAAGTGGTTTTCTAGAAAAAAAGAAGGAAACAGACAGATGTTTCTATTACAAGTAATTGTTCTGATTCATCTTGACTGAAGATAATGGATTAGTTTTTAAAAACTACTATTTCTGGAGGTTCTAAGAATTTAAAGATGAATGAGAGAAGAGGTTCCCAAAAACCCTGTCAGCAGCAGTTTCCAGCGGACCAGAAAAAGGAGCTGCAAACCCCTTCTGTTTGTACAGCCTCTTTCAGGGCACATTTTAATGGTGTTTCTTAGTGATTTAAACGCAGCTAAGACTTTGTTGTCTTAATATTTAAGTTACAAAAGGTTCTGCTTATTATTTAATTCTAGATGTATAAATGGTGGGGGCTGAAAAGAGTACTTAGATAAGGAATCAAGGGGACTCACTTCAATACATTATCTTTCTGACAGTCATCAGAAAGCATTTTCTCAGTTCTTATTGGAAACTTTGGTGATGAGAAGAATGCTAGAGATTTGCAGTCTTGTTAGTACAATTCATAGGAGGCCATATGTCTGAACTGGCTAAATTCCAGTGCAGTCAGCAGCCAGTGAATGCCTTACAGTATTTTAATATCATTCAGAGTTTTCTAAGCTTTTACAGGAAAAATTATTTAAAAATAATTGAAATTACAATTGGAGTACAGGTCAGCCATCTCCTTTTCTTTTCTTTGAAGGCAACTGGATCGCAGATAGGAATGATCATCAACTCCTTCACCAACATTGGGGTGGCCATCATTATCGCTTTCTACTTCAGCTGGAAACTGAGTTTGGTCATAATGTGTTTCCTGCCATTTTTGGCCCTGTCTGGAGCTGTGCAAGCTAAAATGTTGACAGGATTTGCTGCTCAGGACAAGAAAGCTCTGGAAGCTACTGGGCAGGTAACATTACTGAAAAACTAATTTATATTTGCAGTTGTGGGCAGTTGAAAACCAGACATTTGAGACCATCAATAATTCAAATGCATTGAAACTAGCAACTTTTTGCAAATAATTTGCAATGTTTTAGCTTGTAAAATTACTGAAACGCCATTGGGAACTCTGATCTCAAAAGCACTTAGAACACATGACTTTCCAAATGTTATTGGATGGTAGACACAACTCTCTCATTTGTTTGTTCCACTTTTCTCAGGTTTTATGTAAATGCCCGTTTGCTGATCTCTGGCTAAAGCTCTCTTCCCTGTTACTCTGACTCCAGTATCAGTTAGCAGCATCCCATGCCCTGTTAGCTGCAAGGCCCTGAGGACTGCCCCATCTCCTAGGCTGAGAATAGATTTATTTAATTTTGCTCTAGCTGAGCAGGTTCCCAGCTCATGTACCAAATAAGGACAGGGTGAGTATGGAAGGTAAAGGAACATCATATTCTCACAGAGTTCACTTCTAACCACAGAGAGCAGTGGGCTGCTCTGTTGACTTGAAACACAGAAGTTCCTTTGACTTTAGTTCTGAGTCAGTAAGTTCTGGCACATCGCCCAGAATCCGATCCTTCTTAAATACATTTACCCTAGTTCAACATGGCAGAAACTGAACTGTATCAGAAACACAGATTTAGAGGACAGGCAACATGAGGAAGACCATGTCAGATATTAGCTCTCTGAGTAATACACTAGCCTTCTCCCCACTCTTTAGGCTCTCATATTTCTAGCATCAAAAGTGTGCTTTATAAGCTCTCCCAAAACCTCAGAGCTCCTTCCACGGAGCTCCCAGACAATTCTTTATCCTGTCTAGAAATGATTCTTGCATATCTCTCACTCCTGCCAACCCTCCCCATTCCTCCATTCAAATTCTGACCATCAAATGTCCTACCCAGCCCACCTCCCACCCTGCCCCACCTGAACCTTCTTACCCTGCTAAGCTCTCAGAGATGTGTCTTCAGCCTCCTGTCCATATCTGTGCAGCAAATGGGTGGATGGGGCCCTTGCCCTGTTCAGCTCTGCAAGTAGCTCAGGGTGTCCCTTAGAATTCTAGAATTCAAAAATAGTAATAATAATAATAATAATAATAATAATAATAATAATAATGCTCACAGGGCACACATGTGGTCCTTTGGTGAGGGCTGTTAGGAACTATCATCAGTTCTAGAAAGCCAACGAAGAATTATGGCCAGACCAGTGTTTAACATTCAGAATGGCTTAATTACAAAAAGTAATAAAACGTTATATTGGAACTGATTTGGGGATTTAAACAGAGAGACTTTACTACTGAGTCAAGCTTTAAGCTTGTATTCAGTAGAACAACTCAGAGGCTGGGATGAAAAGGGCATTCAGTGCTTCAGCAGTTTTGGCAATGACTGATTATATCTGGTGCTATTGTCTAATTTATTTCCCAGCATTGCATCCAAATAAAAAGCTTCTCCACTGTGACTGTTCCCCAGCCACATAAAACATAGAAAAGCAGCCTGGACAAATGCACTGTACCTAATTATTTTCTGCTTCAAGTTGTGTAATAATGCAACAGATGTGACCCTTAATTTTGACCATAAGAAATACCCTGAAATTGAATGGCATACTTTGTAATGGTTTATATATTGAGATCTCTTTCTGTTTGATAAAAACATCCGTGTGCTGAAAACACAGGAAATGTCGTACCATGAAACTACTTGTGAACTCCAGGCAAACGACAGCATTGTTAAACCAATTTCCAAATAAAATTACTTGAGATAAGCAGGGATAAGCATTTTACTATTCTTTTTTTTTTCTCCTCCAGATTTCCAGTGAAGCTCTCTCTAACATCAGAACTGTGGCTGGGATAGGGAAAGAAAAAAAGTTTATTGATGCTTTTGAGAAGAACCTGGATATGCCGTACAGAGCTGCAATCAAAAAAGCAAACGTTTATGGAATCTGCTTTGGCTTCGCCCAGAGCATAGTGTTCATAGCCAACTCCGTATCTTACAGATATGGAGGCTTTCTGGTTCAAACTGAGGGGCTCCATTACAGCTTTGTGTTCAGGTAAGACCCTGCATGGGGCCAGGCACAGGCTCCTCTCCTGGTGCTGGTTTGGGCAGAGCACACAGCTTCCTGATGGCTGCCCAAGAGTAACCATGTTCACTTTTCCTACAGAGTGATCTCTGCAGTCGTGACCAGTGGGACTTCTTTGGGAAGAGCTTCTTCCTACACCCCGAACTATGCCAAAGCCAAAACATCTGCTGCACGCTTGTTTCAACTCGTCGATCGGCTTCCTAAAATCAGTGTTTACAGCAAAAAAGGAGAAAAATGGGTAAGTGTGGAGATAGATGAGTGGTATGAGATGTCACTCAGCTCAAAATAAGCACTGACGTTGCAGTAACAATTTAAAAACACTGGGGATCACTACTTTACAGTAAGGTTATTCTGTCCAAATAATTGATACATCTGCTCTTTTGGAAGCAGTGAGCTCTGTAGTAGGCAGCAAGAGTAACATAAAGCATGGCTATTAGGAATTTATGTAAAACTCCTGTGGATTGCAATAGCAGTAATTTGAATGATTCACCAAACAGCGTGCTTTTGCTTTCTGATAGTTATTACAGCCACTGTGTAATGCTTTTTTTTTTTAGTTCATATAGAAGTTGGAAGTGTTCATGAGAAGGAAAAAAAATTCTGAATAGGACAAAATGAAAATGTTTTAGGTCAGTGGAAAACTCAGACGTAGCAAATTAAAAAGATGTATTTAGCTTTCTTTCAGCTTTAAAGGAATTCTTGAAATATTTGTCCCAAATACGTTAAATTGACCAGAATTCACATATTGTTTTAACATCACAAAGTTTAGTAGATCTAAAACAAAAACGAAAACTTTTCACATAAATATCTTTATACAGTCACCAAATTTGTACTTATACAGTATCTGTATTAAAATGAGTAACTTACTAGTTGGCAAGGTAATCCCACTTCCAGTTGTTCCTTCAGGCCGGTGTAGTACAGGGATGTGTCAGTAGAGCTTCGGTTTAATGACTAATGACTTCACCTTGTAGAACAGCTGTGCCAGTAAGTTTATAATGACTCTTTCTATGCTAATTTCACGAGCACTGCTATAACATTTTGAATAACAGATGCAAGAAATGAATTTGAGGAGGAGTTGTTTTCTACTTTATGACTCAGTTTTGAGCTTGAGATCATTGCAGTGTTTCTCATTTTTTCACTAGGATGATTTTAAGGGGAGCATTGAATTTCTTAACTGTAAATTCACATACCCCTCGCGGCCTGATATTCAGGTCCTGAAAGGACTGACTGTAGCTGTTAAGCCTGGACAGACATTGGCATTTGTTGGCAGTAGCGGCTGTGGTAAGAGCACCAGTGTCCAGCTTCTGGAGCGTTTCTATGATCCTGAGAAAGGAAGTGTGGTAAGCAGAGAAAACATGATTTGTGTACTGTTGTCTTCATCAATGCTACATGGACTCTTCTGACTGTGTCCAAACGTGGAACCTAGCACTGTGTCTCTACACATGCAGCTTGGGTTTTCAGCTCCTTTTCAAAGGAGGACTGTTCAAACTCTGGGCATCACGTCAGATGTACTGAGGAAAAATAAGAACACTACTCACCTCCTGCATTATAAAGGCCTCAGGAAATCACGTTGGTAGCTCCAGTATGAACCATACAACGTGTGGCTGATGTTGCGGGAACACAAACAAGAATCAAGCTTGGCTGAAGCAGTGGAATCTGGAACTTCACTAACTAATATATAGTTTTAACATGCAGCTTCTTTGCAGATTATAGTTATCTAGCTTTTATAACTCTTCCTTATAAAAACTTAATCATCCAGTCAGAATCTCATCCATTGACAAAAATAAGGGTGGTGATCATTAAGCCTGGCAAGGCAACAAAACATGTGCCTAACCTGAGGCAGTAAAAGTTCAGTTGGAGTTAAGAGTAATCAGATGGTATAGAGTTTGGCTGGATGACAGACACAGCTGGAAAGTATTCGTCATGTATAAAGAGGTCAAATGTAAGAGATACTTCAAATTACCTCATGTCAGTCTTGCTTGTAGTTTATTAACAAATCATTTACTTATACTGTAAACTAACTGGCTTTGCAGGTCATTTTGGAATGACGTTTTATGTTTTCTCCTATTTCCTGGTAGTTAATAGATGGGCATGACACCAAGAAAGTAAATGTACAGTTTCTCAGATCAAAAATTGGAGTAGTGTCTCAGGAACCTGTGCTATTCGACTGCAGCATTGCTGACAACATTAAGTATGGCAGTAACACTAAGGACACGACAATGGAAAAAGTCATAGAAGCAGCCAAGAAGGCTCAGCTGCATGATTTTGTCATGTCACTTCCTGAAGTAAGTACACCTGAGGCTTGGCTGCGGGGGCACACTGTTCAGCTGGTCATTGCAGAGGGTTGCACCAAAACCAGTTGAAATTGCTGCAGTAAATATTTTATGTCTTTCCTTTACAACTAGAATGGTAGGAGAAAAGACCACTCTTTGTTTCCGAGAGCTTAGGTGTGAGTTGTTCTGTTTTCTTACACAGTAGGCAAACGTTTCTAAGACTAAAAATAATATGATTCTAAATTAGGAGAAAAGGGAAGATTCTCAAAGCAATTGATAAGAAAAAAGAGGAAGTATTGTTCAGCAGTCAAAGCATTCTACAGTGTTGTAAGCATTATACAGCATTATTGGTAAGCATTATACAGTATTATACAGGAAATACAGATCCTGTTCTCAGCTGTGGGAGTGCTGCCCTGCAATTAGGGTACAATACCTCAGTCAAAACACTTGAAGCTGGCTGCTTATGCACACGGGGGAGGTATTTAAATGCACTGAAATCATACAGACATAAATGATAAGAACATGAAAGATACGTATATAATTTATGCATGCAAACAAAGCTCTTGTCCAGTGAGCCCCACAGTCTCTTTTAGCCTCTTCTCCCAAATCTAGGCCAGGGATTTCTTTTGCTTCACACAAATCAATCATCATCTTGCCATCAAATTTTTCAGGCCTGTTACCATACTACAAAACATGGTTCAAAGATATCTCCCTGAACATCTGTATCGCTCTTAAAGTATTTCTGTCTTCCCAGATTCTTTAAGGAGGAGACAGCAATGGTCAGAACTCCCGCCTCTCTCCTCTGCTGCTCCTTGAGCTTGTGCACTTGTTTGTTTACAGCTAGATAAAGATCTTCCTTTGGCATATTTTTCAGAAATATGAAACTAATGTTGGTGCTCAAGGATCTCAGCTGTCTCGTGGGCAAAAACAACGTATTGCTATAGCGAGGGCCATCATACGAGATCCTAAAATTTTATTATTGGATGAAGCTACATCTGCCTTAGACACAGAAAGTGAAAAGGTAAGTTTGCAATGATAAGAAATAAGGGAAAATTAATGCGATGGCTTACAAAGTACAATGCCACCTTCTGATCTGTGGAGACATCCTGCTGTACAAAGATCACATTACCACAGCATAGTGGTCATTACATGACCACTGCTAATTCAGCACTTACACTTTTAATGATCTTTTTTGAAAGATTGAGGAAGTATGGCTATAAAGTCAATAGCTAGCTACAGAGACTCTTAAACTATCATTAAGAAGCAGTACTTTCTGTCTACTGTGCATACTAATTCCCTGGGTTTCACAGCATTCAGTGGGAATCTGTCATAAATACAGCTTTTGCACATAAAAACAAACTAAACCAGCACAGAAGTGTCTGATGATGAGTCTGAATATCCAATAAAAACAGCAGTGCAGGGCCTGAGAGCTGGACAATAAATTCCTTGGCTTGGTCACACTCACTTGAATATTAGAGAATTGGTAGAAATTTAGAAGCACATCCAAGCTGAGTATGTCAGCTGAAAAAAAGACTTTCCTTACAGTTTGATTCTTACTGTATTTTTACCTTTCCCTTTTTAGTACAAATATTGCACAATATAGTTAATTAGTCTGAAGCAATCGGATCTCTCCAGCTCTGAGCCCCAATTTGATTTGCCCATTTTCACTCTGATGCTTTCTTTGTTGCTCTTAGACTGTGCAAGCAGCACTGGATAAGGCCAGAGAAGGGCGCACCTGCATTGTCATTGCCCACCGCCTGTCCACAATCGAGAATGCTGACATCATTGCTGTGATGTCACAAGGAATCATCATTGAAAGGGGCACTCATGATGAACTGATGGCAATGGAAGGAGCATACTATAAGCTCGTTACCACTGGAGCCCCAATTAGCTGAATTGCTGCGATGCTACATTTCAAAGACTGTTTATCTGAACGAGTACTTTGAAGTAGGTGTGTGTATGTTGGTAGCCCTCTGTGCTAAAAAGTGCTCTGCAGTACTGTGAGTTACACAGTAACTTAAATCTATGTAGCTTTCTGGTTAAGCAGTTGATTGGGCACATGGAGGGGGTTAAGCATAGGCTAATGCATTCAGGAAATAGTTCTCAGCCAACTGCAAAGGGAGAGAAAACCTGAAAATAGGAAGATGTTCACTGGTGAGCTGGGAAATTGGCACCGCCTGCAGTCAGACTGTATAGTTCAGTCCCTCCCTTAATTAGCAGTCAAGGAAGAATCCATTCTGATGTCCTGGAAACTGCCACTTCTTGAGGTAAGCTGTTTGAATTAAAAAACAATCCCAAGCACAAAAGTGTATTACTGAAGGGTTCAAATTCCTCCTGATGTTCTGCTCTAGTGAGGATTATAATAGATACCCTCCTCCTGGGTACAAAGCCTTGACCCTTTGCACCACTTCATTCCACGCCTACTTCAGCTGTGATGCTGGAAGAGGCCAGGTTGCCCCTGGGTACAGAGCAAACACATGGAGCCCTCAGCTTGACGTAGCAGTACCCTTCCAGTAAAACCAGTGCTCACAAAGAAGGCAGCTTCACAACAGTAAGGAAATAAATAACTCAGATGAGGAATATAGCCTGATAAGTCTCAGTTCTCCTACACGCTGCTCTGACCAAAGCTGCCAAATAGATTTTGAATATCAACAAACGCTTTAGATAAATCAATGTAAAATCCTACAGATAATTGATTGGCACAGTTATTTAAATCACTTCTATTGAGACAATGATAGATAATGTGTTGGTTTTTTTTCTTCAGAAGGCACAGCAATGCCTTTGGAAATTATTTTTTACAGAAATGGTAAAAATGAAAAAAATTATGAATTTTTAGCCATAATTAACTAGCTGTTTGTATGAAGCAGATCTAAGAAATAGAACAACAGAGATCAGGAAGTATCTTCCTCTGCCAGAGACTTGTATCTGTAAAAGTTTTTTAAATAAGTACTACTACTTGTTTTCCTGGAATATGTTTACTAAGTATTGGTTGGGAATACTGAGACAAATTACAGTATTAAAATTTAAATCTTGATTTGGAAAGGTAGAGTATTAACTGGAAAAGTAATTCTCAACATCCTGATATCTGCAGTTCACGTGTGTAGATTTCCCCCACTTTGTAACAAGTCACCCCATAAAACTATATATTATAAAACTATGGAATAGTACAACTGCTAAAACTTAAATAAAGGTGGAAGGTTGAAAACTTCAGTAGGATCCATGTCTTAATTCCATGCAGCAAAAAATAATTTCCAGATTTATGCAATTCCACTTACAGAATGCTTTCATCAGAATCTTGTGAAACCACATAATTGACTTTAAAGTGCTATTTGTCCCAAAGAAATTTGTGTTCTGGTCACTAACTGCAAATGAACAAGGAAGTTCATTATTAACCTTCTGTTTTAATTATCATAGCCTTTTTATGTTTCAAAGCAGTAATTAGGTGTGGGGACTCAGGAGTGAAACTATCTACAGAATGACTGGCATTTCTTACTGCCTTGTGCTTTAGCATCTCTTACCCTTCAGTATCCACAGCAGACAGCAAATATTTGAATGTATTTAGCTAATGTCTGTAGCAAAGATCTGCTCTGCAGTACAGAACTGTTGAGAAGGCCAATGAAGCTATGGTAGCCTGGGCCCAGCTGGGTGGTACAATTGCTAATTAAGCTGCTCTTCTCAGTGAGGTAACTATTTTTAGGTGACTAATACATATTGGGAGTTATGTATTATACAGACATACTTGCTAACAGAAGGTACTCACAGTATACAAAAGTTGTATTGCTCCTGCCCGTTCTTGGTTGCCATCTCCTGCCATTTTGTAGCTGTGTGCAATTGAAACCAGTTGATTGTAAATTCCTTTAGTACCTGCGTGAAGGGACTAAGGTGCAGTCAGAGTGACATGTCTGAGCAGAGGGAAGAATGTTTAGGCAGGAAGGAGGAGAGGGAGGAAGAGAAAAGCTGCTTATTGGTGAAAATAAGCATTGTGAACTGGATGCAGTGCCAGCTTGAGAGCTAGTTTGTAGGAGGAGTGAGGATCACTTGCCTTTTCAACTGCTACTTCACATAATTCAGCTACAGGTTAGTAAGAATCTTTCAGGATCTTCCTGCAGAAGGACTTTTGGCACTGCATTATCCCATTTAGAAGATCTCTAAGTCAAGAATAAAAGATTAACTTTCTCCTGGGACCCCATTACTGAGAGCAAGAGAATCAGGTAAGCGCTTTCTCGTTATACAGAAAGTTAATTTATAACAGCTACAAAAGCCTGATGAAGTTATACTTTAAATGTTTAACAACTTGAAAGCTCCTAGTTAAATTGCCACAGCTTTATTAAAGAAGGCTTGAGGTGTAATTTTCAACTGTGATAAATTCACTAAAGCCTAAGGGACACATAGACTTATTTTGCTGTATCAATGAAATGGCCAACTCCTCATTTACTAATTCCGTCAAAATCTCAAGATTGATCTGACATTTTTTATCCCACCACTCTAGAAAGAGCTAGCCAATCTGAAGTTTTGGGAGCCCTCTGTTGAGATTCTTTAAGGCAGAAGCGCAAAACTCTGTAGCCCAACACACTACAGCTGCTCAGAAAATGCCTATTCTACTGCCATATCAACAGTTTAACTTATGAAGTTATAGGTAAAATGAAACTAACTGCATTTATTCAGTTTTCCCATCATGCTTAGTTTTAGTAATATTTCAGTAGTTTCAGAAAAAAATGAGAGATGGTTCAGACAGGAAGCTGGTCCCTTTCCCTGAAGCACTGTGGTTGCAGGCTGAATTAATAGGAAGCTCCAAGAAGACAAGTGAGCTTGTTTTCATCTTATGCATCTACATGCTGTATAAAAGAATACTGCAGAACTGTTAGTTGTCATTCTACACATGTGGTTGTCAATGCTAATACTGGTTCCAAGAATCTTTGTCAGTACCACAAAGTGCAGACCCTCACATAGCATGAAATGTGTCTACTTGTAATTCCTCTCTTAAAACTGCTCACATTGTCAATAGGGGCAAACATTGCTGCAATAGCCAGATTGCTATGTATAGAGCATCTCCTACTGCTGGCCAGGATAGACAGACAGAAGGACAGCTAGACCAACCTTCTAGCGCTTTGTATGTTACATTCTACTAGGGAATAACCAAGCACTGAAGAGCAAACTGAATGTAGGAGAAATCTTTGCCAGAGCTGTCTTTTAGTTCTTCATTGTTTGTTTCCAGTCCCATTAGCTTAGTCATACTTGCTTAAATTTTAAAGACTCGTAATTATAGATAAGGTTGGTTTCAAGCCACATGCTGTGAGAGAAGAGTTCAGAGAATCATTAAAGACAACAATGGCAGTTATGTAAAGCAGAGCACTCTTCAGACTGTTAAAAACTTTTTAAATGTCAAAGTAGTCTTAGAAGGCTTTTAAGAAAGAATGTCCCTGAAATTTGTATCATGTGAACTCCCAAGGGACAAATAAAATTTGCCTTGTTTTCCTAATTAAATAAGATTATTTACATCCCACTACTAACTGGAAGTTCAAAGCAATACCATGCTAACATCTTCTAAGCTGTACTGCTATCAGATCACACACACAGCCCTCATTACCTATTTTATAGCCTTACGCTGCATGCATACTCAGTATTGTAAGGATGATATTGCTTAGAGGTTGGGCAGTGAAAGTAAATACATGCAACAGTAGGTGACAAATAGTGAACAAAAAGGGAAAAAAGGGAAAGCATGTGGCTTTCCATTTATAGAATGCCAGTTCTACGTAATAAATTTACATTTAGCATATTAGTAACTTCTGTGCATAAGCCAAGCTTACTCTTCAATCCCATTTTCATGATTTTCAGAAGCAGTAACTGATTCTGATGTGTGACTCTTGAAATGACAGAATTAAACTAATTTACACTTGCAATACAGGAGCATGAACAACATTCTTGAGGGAGTATGCTGAGCTAGTTTAGTGATTGACAGCTTTCTATATTTGTTGCTCTATGTAGACATGCAGCACTACAATATTTACTACATCAAACGCATGTATTTTCAACATCAAAAGTGTAATCATTATCATTCATGATTTATATGATCATTTTTAAAAGTAAAAATTTCAAAAGTCACAGTAATGCAACAATATATTCTACAGAGTCTAATTGGAACAAATTTTCTTTTATTTTTTTTTTGCATCTGGCTTAAGCAGAAGCTGTTAGCTTGGGAAGCGCAAGAAGACAGACCTATAGAAATCTTCCTGATAACTGCATTGGTTTTTTTCGCAGTGCTTGGGGACAGTTGTACAGTTGCAGGTGGTGTAATACTGTCACTCCATTAGCTAGCAGTTTAGCACACATCTACATGTTAAAAAATTAAATATTGTGTACCACTATATACCACTGAGGCCCAAAGCACCATCTAGTTGGCAATGGACAGAACAAAAAGGTGACCAAGTAGCTGAATAAAGCTAGCCAATTATACTTTACTTTAAGAAAACCATACTGCAGCATCCTTCATTGCAATGCTTCTAGGAATAAAGTCAGCAACTACTTAATATTTCTGAGCTGCCAAAACCATTCTTGAACGCACTGATTTGGGATATACAGACTACTTACCAGGAGCACATCAAAGGTGCAGCGGCATCCCCCTTGGTTAACATGAGTTAAAACTGCCTTTGTGGAGGGCTCTTGAACAGTTCATATCCTTGCACTTGCAACCATTTGGAAACCTTATCTAATTACATTTCTTATCAGTTGTCCTCATTAACGTGTGGACACAGTATGGAACCAAGGCGACTACAGTCAGAGGCATAGCTGCACTCTTACAAAAAGAGAGAATGTAGAACAAATACTCAGTGTGAGTAGGTATCTTAACAAAATTATACAGCTGTAGTGTAGCTAAAGAAACAGCTATACACAATACGCGGAAACTTATCTTACAGCTGTTTTTACCCTTGCAGCTGGTGATGAACATTTCTGAATTAATACCAATACCTAAGCCAAAGAACGCACCTAAATTTCTCACCAGTCCAGCAAAGGGAGTTGTGTCGATGTTTATCCAGTCTGGATTGGCACACCATTTCTTGGCCTTTGGGACAGACCACAGCAAGTCAATATCAAGAAGCTTGAGGACTAGGTAAAAACCAAGGGCAAAGATGAAAAGAAACAAGTTTGTCTTGATGTACATTCTCAAGCTTGCTGTCTGAATAGCAGGAGTGTGCTCAAATGCTTCTGCCACAACAATTCCTGTGGATAAGAAAGTCAGTGTTACAGGGAACAACACACTAATGTTGAGGAAGTACTTCTTACAGTGCCCCTGTAGGAGTTGGCTTTTGAAGACAGAATATACATATGTATCCACATGCATTTATAGAAATACACATAGATACAAATGTATTCACATACACACAATTTACCACTTCTGTGGTAGATGGAAAGACTTTTCTCTCAAAACTGCTAGGTTTGGAAAAGAAATGTTAAATGCCAAGCACCAGGTGTTGTTTTTTTTTTTCCTATAGAAGACATGCGTTAGGCCAGACTGCATCATCCACATGACAACCTTTGCAAAACTAGAGGTAAACTTGAACATTCCTTTTCTAGAAGAAAATTTCAAAGACTGGCACAGCAATGCAGATTTCAACAGCAGCTCTTACACAGGTTGTGACTACAAAGACAGCAGACACATACTGCCTTACACAGTTTGCAAATTTCACAATGAGACTGTTATCTTCCAGAGACTGCAGAGTACCACGACAAATGCACGTTGAGTAGCATTACTCAAAATCTCTTGCCTTTTCTCATATTTCAGAATTTTCGGATTTTGCATATGTGAAGGAAAGAAAAATTAGCAACATTACCAGCAAATACTCCAAGAATAACTTGATGAGGGAAATGTGTTGCTATGAATACTCTTGAGATGCACACACTGATCTGGATAATCCAAAAAATAGTCCAGAGTAATGACCGTGTCAGTCTAGGAGGAAGAAGAAAGACGCTTAAAAATGCTGATATTTCATCTCATAATTTACATCAGGTGCATTTGTGTCAGGCTCATATTTTAACCAAGCAGAGATTTACAAGTAGAGAAGTTTAGAATCATAGGATTAAAGACTGGAAGTCAGTACTAAAATACTAGCAAGAGTAGTTAGTTAACTTGCAGCCACATCCAGGGCTGCAAGAATTGACTTCAGTAGTTTCAGATTTTTGACACTATCATATTTTAGTGATGAAAGGCAAGTTAAATTAGAACTATTGCTTTGAACATTTTTAGCATCATAAAGGCACATTCAAACACAAAATATCATTAATTTAGTTTAATACAGGGACAGCCTTGCCAAACTTGGAAAGCACAGACACCAAAGTTTACGTTACAGGGCTTCCCCATCGTGCTGAAGAGCTAGCAGTGTGTGTTTGCTTTCAAATAGGGTAAGACTACCATGGAAGCAGTAAATTTACTCAGTATTAAAAAGAAGAAAAAAATCCAACATGTAAAGAATTGACAGAATTTAACATTTCTGACACTAAAGACCTGATGCAGTCTTTAATAGGAGGCTGATTCAGGGAGATCGTGATGTAATGTGTGTAAGTTATTAAATACTGACCTATAGAAATGCATAACTTTTCTTAATATTCTTTGTCTTCAGTTGAAGTACATTGCAGTGTTTTGCTTTTGTTTGTGGTTTTTTTTTTTCTTTTTTTTTTTTTAAACAAACTGGATAAAACCTACTATGAATATTTGGTTAGAATAAGTCCGTTAAAAGCATAACATGATAACAGAAATCAGTAAGAGTTACCATAATGGAAAGATACTGACCTGTGAAGGGTAACTGCTGATTTCTCTTTCCACCTCACTGTGTAGCTAAGTGCTGCTGTTACCATTACATACCAGACGCAGGAAGATCCCATGGCATGTCCAGATGGGCTCCCTAATAAAAACAAAAAGGAAAAGTTTAAGCTTAGAAATGATGACTGTAACAGGCATACAGAAAATGTCTACTGGCAGTTATTCAGGCATCTGATGATTCAGGAAAAACCAAAGGCAGAAAGAATATTAATTACTTTTCAAGTTTGTTTTCTCAATATAATTTTTTTAGCAGATTGATCTATTTCTAATCTAGAATATTTGCCAGTAATCAAGCAGGTAACAGATTACCCATTCTGTACCAGCATGAGCCAGTATCTTGATCAGAAAGCATAGCATTTTTCCATCACTTGGATTGTGGTTAAAAAATAGAGCATTTATTTGCTAGTGGAATACTAATGTCTTTACAAAATTGTCATATTTTTACAGTACTCAATATTATTTTTCCCCAAAGAGTCACTGCAATATAAAGAACATGAGATAACAAGTTCAAGTAATATTTATCTTTTTCTGCAGCAACACACTTACATGGAACGTGCCAAACTGCTGTATTTCTTTCATATACATCAAGTTATGGCATACCTGAGCTAGTTGAAGACACCTGTGTAAATCTGAGTAGCCAGTGGCCTAATTCAACAAATATTCATGCTGGAACTTGAACTGTTACCTTGCTGTTATGAACACTGGAACTCCTCCCAGGGTTGCAGCATATACTCTAGAAATTAAGTATCCATAGGCTACTTCATATTTTTAATACCATACAAAATCATCTTAAGTCACATCCTCTACTTACCCCCATAGCCACCATACATATTAAATGTTTCAGTGCAATCTCCAACATTTCTTACCTGGTCCAGTTTCACATGTTATAGGAAACTGTTCAAGGCATGGGCTTGACTGATTGGGATAAATCATTGTTTCATGCACCCACCAGTAGGGACGATGGCCAAATAAAATCCTAACAGAAAATAAAATAAAATAAAATAAAATGAAGAAGAAATGCAATAAAAAGATTTTTATCTAAGAACACCTCAGCAAAGCATGATCAATAACATTACAGCGAACACAAAAGACTATACTGGCAAAATTGTTGTATAACAGTGCTATAGGTTCTTGTCCTAGCAAAATTTCATTTCAGACTTCCATTAAAAATTTTCATCGTGAAACCGTATTTTAAATTATGGGGAAAAGTCTACCCCTACACCATCCACAGAACACTTTCCAAACTTGAGGAACATATGCTAACCATATAGAAACCATAGAGATAGCAAATTTTAGAATAAATACAACTTCTTACCATTTAAATATCAGGTTGAACCAATCACCAATGACTGCCACCCATATCATTTTAGTACCAACCACTTGGTTGAGCTGAAACCAAAGAGGAAAATAAAATGAGAATATATTCCGAGGATCTCCAACATGTGACATAAAATTAAGGAAATCCTGATAAGCCCTGTAGTCTCTCTGTAAATGCTGAATGATAAGCACTCCATTGCTATGAAGGAGATCCATGATTAAACTGATTGAACTGTATTTGAAATATAATAAAGTTCTTTTAATCTTAAGTCTCTACTGAGGGAGAATGAGAACCATAGAAGGGAGCTATTAAAAAGTGAGAGAGAAGGTGATTAACGTTGCCTTTATATTGTATCGGTGTGGCGTGCCCAGCCATTCCTGAAACACGTGGCTCCGAATCTCTGTTAGCACTGGAAAGCTGGTCTGTTTGCAAATTTTAATTGGAGGAAAGTAACCGAAGTACATGCTGATCAGCAGCAAATTGTGGGGAAAGTTTTGTGGAAACACAATGTGTGACTTATGCAATCCTTTGTATGAACAGTTGGAACATGTTTGCTTGAATTTTTTCACAGCTCATTTCTCTGCAGGATGGACATTAGTAATGTGTATACTTCATTAAGTGTTGCCTGTATAAAGAATACACAGCGATTGGCCCTTGCAGAACTGTCATTAAAACTGTACATCACAGTTTGAAGTAGAATTTGGCTACCATACTGCACCTAATACGTTGCACAGCTCATTTTTAATCAAAGTAAAAAGCAACAAGCATCCATACATTAACGATTTTGTTGGACACCAGATTCATTTTTTAAAAGGCAATTTTCTCAGAGCAGTGAAAATAATTATTTCCTTGATGAGGGAGGCCATGTTAACCCCCGTGCTGCAGATGATGCTTAGCCTCCATACCACCTCCTTCAGTATTGCCGTTCACACACCTTGTTTATGACACAAGTGCTACACACCTGTGCCACAGGGAGCTGAACCTGCCCTATTGCAGCCCTCGGCCTGCTCCCCAGCCCAGCAGAAATGCTCCACACTGCCTCACAATCCAGTGTACTTCCAAGAGAAGCACTTGGGTCCACCATGATGAACAGCCAAAAGGAGACCACTGAGATCCTGCCAGACAGTCTGATTTTAAATACACGGAACAAATAATACAGTAGCACACATCAGACCAATCAACATTAGTATTACTAAATTTAGCATAGGTAAAGATCATGCTCATTTATAAGGTGACTGCATGACAAATGCTCTTCCCCAGCGATAACATGGATACCAAGCATCTGATGATAGCATCATCTCATATGCAAACTGTACGCAGCATGTAATTCTGTGCATTCATTGAGCATCTTCACTGCTTTAAGGCTAACCCACACAAGCTGTGAGGCAGATAGTCACTGCTCCCCTGGTTTTGCTGCGAGGACAATGAAGCTCAACAGGGCTTTATGATGATGTCAGGGAAGTCACACGGAATCATTAAGTAGATTCAACAAACAAGGCATGATCACTAAATGGACTTAGAAGACCTCTCTTCCTGACACAGACTCACCTTTACTTAGCCATTAATAGTTTGCTTTTAGAAACATTTTACCAGATGTAAAACCTATACCACTTTGCTACCAGTTGCACTGAGCCACATAGAAACCCATAAGTTTAAAAAAGAGAATGAAAATTATATGAAATGTACAGAAAAGTACTTTTCTGTACATTGACTAAATTATTCACTTGATTTCAAGGAAAACTCTCTGAAAAACAAAATTCCAAGATATTTCAATACAAGTATTTCCTAGCCTGATCACTGCAAATATATGGGAGGGTTTGTTTCTTCTTAACCCTATGGCTTACAGCTCGTCAGGGTGTCAGAGAAGGGAATGCCATGCAAGTAACCTGGTGAGAACTAACGTTCTGACCTCTCCCAGATCCTTCCCAAGAAATGATCAGTTCAGAAACATCTTTTTCAAATAACTTTTTACAAGTTATCACTAGAGGAAATGCCTTTTCACTGCAAATTTAAAGCATCTCACCTTTAAAGGTAAGTAGGACTTGCAACAACATCAACAATCACTCTTTTGTACAGGCGTGGGTGTAGCACATAAAAAATACAGAGAAACTGAGGTTTCACCTGTTTTTCAGTCTAGTTCATATAGAATAACTAGCTTTAAGTATAAATCTAACAGCAACTGTCATGAGGTAAGTCTAAAAAAATATTGTTCTGTTAAGAACAATGTTTTGCACTAAGTTCCAATCAAGATACAGTTTAGCATTCTCAGGAGAGACCAAGCAATAAAATAGTTCACCTTCCAGTTTCTCTGGAATGCCATCATTACATAATGTATCAGAAGAATGGCTTCTCTGACACGAGACATGCAAGACCTTTCCATTAACTTTTTGCGTGCTTTTACTACTTCTGGATGCCACTTGGATACAAAAATACACCAGGACAGAACCCTTCTGCTCAGGCAGAACCCTACCTCCTCCGCTCAGATCTGCTCAGGCGCTCCTTTGGCTCTCCAGATGCTCCATTGACACAGAGCCTGAAGGAGCTTGTCTTAGCAGCCTCACTTCAGTGAGGTACCCTCCTCAGGTACAAATGCTAGAGCCCTGACATCCATTTTCACTGTAAATATTTTGCTGCTGATTCATATGTTGATAATTATCTTTCTGCTTAGATAGAAAGACAACCCATTACAGTTACTGAATACACCATTATGCTGTTAACAGTTAACAGCAAACATATAGATAAACTTTAGTTTTCTCCTACATTCCTTCTGACTGTTTCAGCAGCTCCTACATTCAGATCTAGGATATACAGGAGATATCATGTTTATAAAAGTATTTTATAGACATTATAATTTATAAGCATTTTTTGTTTCCAAAAAAAAACCAACCCAAAAAGTCCACATCTGAGAAACAAAAAGCAGGAGGGGTTGGGAAGAGGTAAGCAGATTTCTGTGAGATAGACAGCTCAGGTGATGTTTTTGTGGTGCCTGGAAGCTCTCATGATCCTGCCTTGTCCAGCAGGCATGGACAGCTGATGCGTGGGTCACTGCTGACCTGCACGTGGCATCTAGCAACCCACAAAGGACTGAGATATCCAAGGCTTTCTTAGTTCCTGCAACCAGCAGAGACAAGACAGAGAAACACCTATTGAAATACTGCATTTAACAACAACTTTGAACTCCAGCAATAAAGAGCTACTTCCTCAGTAGGCTTTTCTTTCCTGTTCTGTGTAATGCTCCCAGTCTTTTGAATCGCTTGAGATAATACATAAAATAGAACTATTTGCTGTATTTTAGCAAGTGGAAATGCAAGGAAAACTAGTGATCTGCATAGAAAGGAAAAAAATAATTCAAAACATGTTCTGACATCAAAGCTTTTGACATGAAAAACCCTTTAAAATCATTTCTGCTCACATAAAAAGATTGCAACTTGCTTCATTTTTCCAAGATATGGAAAAACAGAGATAATCAAAGATGTTCTATATTATTGGTAATAACACAGAAACAAAATCACGTTGATGAACCACAGGAGAATGAACAAAATGTTTACAGCTACTTTACACCTACACATGAGAGCAAACATTACATAACCAATGTCAGACGTTGCAAAGCAAATGTTTGCAAGGGAAAGAAAAGCCGTCAAAGCAAACATCTTCTAAATCACTGTTAATGGGAGCCTATGTACTGGGCCTAAATTTCTGCTCCATTATGTTTAGTTAATTGAACAATAACATTAATTTCCACGTCAGTGTTTTCATTGGCACTGGACCAGCTACAAGGATTAACCAGAAAACCCTCCATACAACAGTGGACAGCTATTTTCTTGGGTATGGATATTCTCCAAATGGAGCCACGAAGAAGATGCATGTTAATTTCAGATTACAGAACAGAAGAGTCTTTCAAGAAGCTCTTACTGCTCTTTCACATTTCATGCCCTCAAGCACTCCTTGTTGGACCAAGGACCCATGCTGCCCTGGTGAACAGGGCCGGACTAACCAGTGGAGAGTTAGCAAAAGCTAGCACAAACTACTTTCTCCTGGTTCTGATCTGATCTTAATCTGATCTTTCCTAGCTACTGCAATTCTTCTTTCCTTGGTATAAACTATTATATTGTTGGAACTCCATTTCCAACAATAACTGCCAGACTTTAATACTGTACATATTCCTGTTTGCTTCTACATGTAATGATGTAAATGATACAAACAAAACACAGAATACAGTTCTGGCATGTTCCTGAAACAGTCAAAGCTAAGGGATGTTATTATAATTTCAAGTATGAGAAAGTACGTTTTTGGTACCACAAGCAATCAAGAGTTTAAGAGCGAGTAAAAAGTGTAACTTTGCCTTCAGGTTTCATAAACTGAAGGAAGCCATGGAGTCTGGACCCATTAGGGCAACAACCTCCACTATAATTTTTTGTTCCCTTTCCAATAAGATCACTCTGCCTTATTTATTGCTATTCTCTAGCCTCTGAAACTAACCCTATCAACATTAGCCCACTGAGATTAGAGGCCTGCCATGCTGAGTCTGCTTACAAGCACCAGCTCCTCAATTTTATGTACCCGGAGCAGTTTCCATCCAAGCTGCAGCAGCTTCTTGACCTTGCGCTGGAACTCTCACCTAACCTTGTCTTCAGCACCACAATATCAGGTAAGGACTTGCAGCTAGCAATACAATAAAGCTACAGACTTTTGTTTGGAGAAGCATGTCCCTCAGCTTGGTTGCAAGCATCTGTCACCTGCTGTTGCCATCACCACAAGTTTAACCACATTTCACACACATACACCCAAAAAGAACTAAAAAGTACAGAAAGGGGGAAATCACAATTGCATTGCCTACAGCAAATCTCACAGAGATGCAAACAGGGTAAATCACTGTCAAAACTTTCTTCCATGCATTACTGCATGGCTTGAGTACATCAAACATTTAGAAAATAACACATCTGAGAACAAATTCCTGGTCCAGAGTTAGGTTGGGTTAGTTTTTGATGGAATCAGACTGTCAAAAGACATTAGAGGTTAGCGTTTGTTTAGATTAGTTGAATTTGTATTTGCTTAACAACTAGATTTAGGAAAATAGCATATTCAGACAGTTAGGAGCCCAAAGAAGAAAGGCAGTTGTATCAGGGGCGACATTTAAATGTTATACTGACCGTTTTCACTCAGTTCACTCAGGTCTAAGGTTGGGTTGGGAAAAGAACAGAATCACAGAAGGCTTGGGTTGGAAGAGACCTCAAAGATCACCTAGTTCCAGCCCCCTGCTGTGGGCAGGGTTGCCAACCAGTAAATGCAGCATGAGGCACTAGATAAGGGTGCCAAGGGCCACAACCAACCTGGCCCTGAAGAACAGCAATGGTCCTACTTTAAAAAGCCATATGCTGTGCCCAAATCAATACATGGCTCGCTACTCGTAATAACCAGCCCAACCCTAGTGCATACAAGCCTCAAGAAGATAGGGAACACTAGTCTAATGTTACTTTTGGTGCTGCTGGTGCTAGGAAACTGGAGAACAGGTGTCCAAGTTGACTGAGACAGAAACACAACGGGGTTTATCCACCAGCAGTAACTCTGTCCAAGAATAACACAACCAACAGTGCCTTCAGCTGAGATTGCGCTTAGTGCTTCAGGGAGGGAAGAGTAACGGCTTCAGATAGCAATCCTCAAAACATAAATATTTACATTATTTTGAGAGCATACAAACGGCACTAAATTAAGTAAAAAGCAGGAATTCATTAGCCACGGCTACAAGCTGATCACTAAGAAAGTCCCACAACAAACAAAGGCTGGTACCAGGGTCACAAGCAGTGCTCAGCCAGAGCCCAGAGGGAGCACTGGCACTGGAAAGTGGGCTGTGGTGTCAGTGGGCACTGGCGGTGCCAAAACGTGACTGAGCACAGGCAGCACTAAGGACTCTGCTTCTGCTACCAAGGACTGCGCAGTCCTCGGTCTGTCTCTCTTTAGGTAACAGACGAGTAACTCCCCACCTACGGGATAACCTGGGTTTGGAGAATTAAAAAGTGACTGGGGTACCAGCAAACACCAGCGGGCTGCCCAAGCATGTTCTCGGAACTCTCTAACTGGATACCGAACGAGTTCTGGCTTCGGCGGCGCATAAAGGTGCCGTCCTGTTCCACTGCTGACACTGACTTCGCTAGCCACTGCCCCGCAAGTGGGCGTGTGTAAGCACTGCAAGGGGCGAGCCCCACACGGTTTGGCACCGCGAGCCCCCAGCTCGAACCCGCAGCAACATCACAGCCACCCGTTCGGCAGCCCCCGCCTCCACAGGCTCTCATCAGCGGTTGGCGAAGAGAGCACGGGGACCGCCCCCGCCTCACGAAAACTCCCAGAGCGCCCCGCGGCCGCCAGCAGGAAGGACGCCGGGCCAATCGACTGCGCGCTTGTTGCGGAGCGGCGCGCGGCGAGCGCGCAGCCGTTAGAGAGGCGGGAAGGCGCCCGAGGTTTGAAAGCTGCGGGTGCGGCCGCTGCCAGCAGCTCCGCGCGGGGGGCGCCCGGCTTGAGCCTCAGGAGCGCGGCGGCAGCAGTACCGCGGGAACTGCCGGTACTGTTCCGCGCGGAGCCTTCTGGCCACGATAGCCGCCGCTGCGGCGGCAAAGGAAACCTAGCTACCGCCGTCACTGGTTGGTGACGGAGACGACGTAAAGGAAAAGGTTATTGGCAACTCACGCGGGACCCTGGAGCTCTCCCGTTAACGTTGGGTACAGTTGCTACGGTTGGCTTGCGTCTCGGCACAGTGTTTGCTTATGCGTTGAAGCATCATGTCTGCTGTAAAGACAGAAGATGAAATAACAGTCGTTGAGCGGGAAATGAAAGAATTTTGGACTGAATTAAAAAGCGTTTATGGCACCGAACAGATCAATCAGACTTTAGCACTGAGAGACTCGTGCAAGGAGTCCATACAGGTGCTGTCAGGTAAGAACGCCTGCGTTCATGGCGTCTCGTGTTCTCCGCGTTACTGTCAGAGTTCATCAGGTAACTGCAGTCTCTTCCCTACAGAGAGATGGGCCAAGAAGCTAAAAGAAGGGGACCTGATGATTGATAAAATTCAGGAGTACAGAAATGGTACAGTATGGTGTTTTACTTATTGTCTCACTTTTCTGAAATTGAGTACAGCTGGATGACATACTTCAAGTTTTAAAAGGTAACTTGCAAAGTCACAGTGAAGATAGAATCAAAGCCAGTTGCATTCAGACACGGGGTGTGAACTGCAAGTCAGGAGCTATTTGCTGCAGAACTTAATTGCTCATTCAGAAAAGATAAAGGCTGATTAAAAGTTTTCTATACGGTGTTTTCATTGCTGAAGGATGAACAGGGGATTACACTTAAAACCAGAAAGTAGAGTTAAATATTATGAGGCTACTTGTGCCTCTTAATAAAATGCAGTTGATGGTCTAGGAGTATTAGTTCAAAATATTGTAACTGAATTTCAGAATCTCAGAAAAAAATAGTTGCAACGTAATATCAGTGAGTGTTTCCTTACCTTAGGGGTAAACAGAAACCTTAGGGGTTTCTGTTGAGTAATTTATCTGTGAAGATCCATCATCCTCATGTTTTGAAGATGTAACCAGTTCTGGCACCAGAAACCTTCTCTATGTCACTGAAGCATCAGAGGAGCTTGCTTCTCTGTTGCTTTTTTTCTGAACAACTTTGACTTTATGACGATGTTTGATATTCTCAGTCATGCTGACTTTTCTATCCGGCTGAGGTAGCATGCATTTCACTAGATTTTATTCAAATAAATAATCACAAACTATATAGATAATTACTAAATAGTGGAGACCTACTTAATCAGCCGTAAATGTTCATATTTTCTTGTCTCCTGTCAGAGATTCTCCAGCAGAACAAACACATATCAGAAAATGAAATACGTTTGACGGAAATAAAATCTAATCTAAACCACGAAGAGGAGCAAAAGAAGGAGTTGACTGACAGTATACAAAAGCTTAAAGAAGAATTGATGAAGAAAAAGGAAAGTAAGTAGAGTTTCTTAATCAGAGGAGGAATTGTTTTCAGTGCTAGCACTTGACTTTTCTGCTGTTCACAGTGTTGATGTGTTTTGCTAACCTTTACTTTCATATTTTTGGCGGTTTTTAAAATTCTAGTAATATCATCTAAAAACAAAGCCACTAAGGAGAGAGTGGAACGACTGTGCAAATCTAAAGAGCTGTTTGAAGAGCGGCTTGGATTGGAAATACGCAGAATTCATAGTAAGTTATGTTAGTTTCTTTGTTTTCCAAATGCTCTGATATAATCTGGTTAACACTGGATTATGCAGAGAAGTTGCAGCTGGCACAACTGAAGAATTGCCTGAAATATGCTTCTTTGGGCTTCTCTAGTGGGTTATACTGAGTCATTTTCCTTTCTTTCATTACATTTGTATACACCACTTATCACTGACAATGTGCACTGATTGATTAGCAGGCATAGTCTGGGCCTGTGTCTGTGTCACTGTCACAGTTGCTTTTGTTATGTAAGAGCAGTTTGAATATCTTTGTAAAGATAAAGTAAAGCTAAGGAAGCAATGTTTAGTAACTGCCAACTCCAAGTAAGCCTCTCAAAAGACAAAAGGTGGTATATTAAAATACATTTGTCTTGCAAAGAGACTTGGTTTATTGAATTTGCAAGTATTCTAACTGTATCTTAATACTATGTTTTGATTCATCACTTAGGCTCTCCATCCAAAGTTAGTGGTGTTAATGAGTTGTTTGTTTGCTTTAGATGAGCAGTTACAGTTTATATTCAGACATATTGACCACAAAGATCCCGACAAGCCGTATGTGTTTACCCTTTCCATAAATGAACAGGGAGATTATGAAGGTATGTGAATTTTAAGTTCTTAAATTTGAGGACAGAATTTGATGTGTATATATGAACAAAGGGAGAAACAACTATAAGTACAGTTTACTTGTAACTTTTATCTTCTAACTTAAGAGTGAAAAAAATGCAGCACTAATATGTTCTTAATGAAGTTACCCTGGCTTATAAAGAAAACTGCTTACCTGCACTGTCCTTCATTTGTGAAGTTGCTGTTTACTTTGTATCAAGCAAAGCAGGAGGGAGATGCGGGGACAGGTGGATGCAGCAGTCTTTCTGTGCCTCTGGGTACAGACGGAATAGACTTCATTTTTCATTAATTTAAGTCCAAACTGTGTGGAAGTGAAGAGGTTATCACTTGCTGGGCTACATCAGTTTTCAATATGCCCACCTGCAGAGCAACAAAAATGTTTAGGAATGCATTTCAGTCTTTGAGGTAGGATGCAAATTGCTACAATTGAAACAGGAGCACAGCACCAAGCAGGAGGTCTGGAAATAAATAAAAAAAAATAATAGAAATTGTGTGTTCATTGGAAGCTTTGTCTTCACTGAAAGAAAATAATTTAATAGATTCCTCAAAAATAATAATAAGGGAAGGTAAAACAGAACACAGTCTGCAATCTATATAATTCACAAGTCTGGAAAAAGCACATATACTTTTAATAAAAGTGATCTAATTTTTCTAATCTTTCTTGTTTTAGTGACTTCGTGTACTCCTCCTCTGGATTGTATATCAGAGTTCCAGCTGAAAGTGAGAGAAACTAACAATTTTTCTGCATTTATTGCCAACATCAGAAAAGCCTTCACAGCTTTGTCTTTTAAACAGTCTACTTAAAATTAACTTATAATTGCTTCTAGCTATAAAGCACTTTTATTTTTCCTTCCTGTGCTGTGAAAACATGTATTTATCCATGTCTTACTCTAATTCTCTAATTTCTAAATAAAGAAAAATAATTAAAGCAGTATTTTAGTCCACTGTGATAACAGAACATTTTAGATCATTTTTGGAACAACATTATAATCAACTGCTTCCTTAACTAAGTGTTTTCAGACTTCTAAATACGGATATGAAGCAAACAGCTAAGTTTTCATTTAAGAGGTTTACAAAAGATGAGTAATGTATTATTTCTGTTTGCTTTCTGAGATTGTCATCCCAAAAGGAAAGTGGAAACCAAATGAGCAGAGGGTGTGAGGTGGGCAGTCATAACAAAAGTCCCAAGCAAACAAAAAACATTTGTGCTAGCTGTTACTATTAACAAAAAACAACGTTTTCTGAAACAGAAAGTTATACTTTCAGTTGGGTTAGTAGACCAGCCAGTATTTTTTTTTAAAGGCATTCCACTAGCTCTGTAATTCTTACTTGTCTTCTCTCATAGGAACTGTGACTACTGTATTACTCATGTGTTGCTGGTACTCTTCCTACCACCTTTCTCATATAGAATCCCTCATCCTCCATGTTACAAATTCCTATCTCTTCGACTTCTCACTAACTGTGTCATCCCTCTAATTCAGAATGCCTGAATTCATTTTCAGGCATGTTCCTACCATTCTGCATCTGCCTGTGCCAAGCAATTCTTAGCTGCACTGGTAAGAAATATTTAAGAGCTCTTGAGCGCAAGCAAAAAGGCACTGTGCAGCCACCTTACTGCCATGCTTTCAAATAGAACTTTCCCACTAGGAGCTTACATATTGCTTAGGTGCACTCTGAAGCATGTCATCTTCACAGGGTGAAAAAAAATCACTGAAAAAGGTTCTAACAAAGACAAGCACTCAGACTTACTGCTGTTTTCCTTCCATCTGCCATCATTTCTTCTTTTCATGTTCATTCCAGGCATGAGTAGTTTGTTTATGGCTTCTAATAAAATTACTTTGCCAAGATTGCTCTGTACAGAACATAAAATAAATGATAAATAATTCCTAGGCATGTAAATTCCAGTGCAATATCGGCTAGAAGAGATGTGCCTGGTTGTAAATATTCTGTGCGTACCCCTAAAGCAAGCACTACAGTTTAAAATGTTTATTGTGTGTAATTTAAACCTTTGCAACTCCTTTTGGAATTTGAATAATGAATGTTTGTATTTTCCAAGGCAAATTAGATGTAGATTTTGCTTCCTCTAGAAAAAAGCTAGGCATTCCAAAGGTGGGTAAAGGCTAGAAAGGAATTATATGCAGTATATTTGTTATTATGAAACACAAAGTAGTGTGTGTCACACTTGTGACATCTCAAACAGCCTACATGCTAGTTGAATATTTGTCATAAATGCTTAAAAGTTTTGTGCCTTTAGCAATTGCACTTAAAAATCTTCACACACTGGAATGTGTCAATTTGGAATTTCATGTTTGTTATGAAGTTGCACAAGACATCTTTATCCAATAATAGTAGGGCCAACTAGGAATAATAATATATATTGACTCAATAAATGTGATTATTGGGACCCCAGAATACTGAATAGCACACAGACTGAAGTGTCTTAAAGAGCTTATGGGACTAGCTCTTGAGCTTAAAAGCAAAATGCAGCTCAGAGACTATGACACAGTCGTCCATCTCCCTCCAGCTGGGAGTGTTCTATCTTTTAGTAGGATCACGGCTATCTTGATCGGAGAGAATTCTATTTTTGCCAAAGTCAGAAAAGGGTTATTTTTTTTTATAAATTTAAAATAAATAATTTGCACGGCCCTGAATATTGTCTTCTCTTTCAAATTATCTACCTATATTCAGCTACTGAGGCTCAAGCTGAAATTCACTGACCAGCTACTACTACTGACTACAGAGAAAACTGCTAGTACTCATCAGCAAGTATGCTCAGAGCATCATCAAATTTATCTCATAACAATGCAAAAAATCTAGGAAAAAGTATTGGATTTAAGATATATTAACTGTGAATCACTGTAAATTTGAGGGCAGAATTTGAGACAAAATGAATAAGTATTAGCTACACTCATGATAACTAAGAAGGACACAGAAGTTATGCTGTGCTTCCATCATGTTTCAATTGTTTATATTACTTACTATCTTCCCTGATGCTTCAGTAAACTTTATGAATTTATTCAATACCCTGAAATTGTCTAAATTAGTCTCACTTATAATTCTCTAAAATCACTATGCACTCATTTGTGAGTGATTTAAATTCCTGCTGAACTTGACATAACAAATCTATGCATACATAAGCCATTTAGTCCCACAGGCAGATTACAGTATATGTTCTATCCTTATGAATAAACTATACAAAATAAGTTATTGTAATACTCTCTTACCTTGTTGAAAGAAAGAGTTGCAACCCAATTATATATTATGCTTTACTGCTGAAACAGGATTTTATGGCTGAAATATTTTGGGAAACAGCTTTGATTGCCAGACAGTGAGAATTTGTTCTTCTTATTATCTCTAATCAATCTAAAAATTATCCACAAAAAGCACTTCAGAATCTTGAGCTTTATAAGCTCAAGATGTTCCAAGCAAGTTGTTCCAGATGAAGCCTGGCTTCCCACAGATCTGTTTTTGTCCTGAAACAGTGCAATTTCTCTTCACAGCAATATCTCATCTTTTCTTTACACTCTTCCTAGTGAATGTGAGCTTGCCCCAGTCCTCAGTTATGTTATTTTGTTGTCTCGTTGGCTGCTGATAATCAGTAGTAGGATAACAGTTGTGCTCTGCTCACCCTTCCTTCAGTGTGGGGCATGGATCTGTGGCTCTCCCCTTTACCTGGCTGCTGATTTCTAATGCAGCTATTGGTGTTTCAACACTATTTGATATG